TGGTCTTGTTGACCTCGACGGGATTCGCACTTGCAGGTTGTTCAAGTACGTCGCTGCGCCTTCNTTTCATAAAAAAAGGAGAATCCGAAGTGTTACTTACGCATAGCAAATTTCTTACAGGAAGGAAAAGCGCCCGGCGAAGCCGGGCGTCATCGTGAGAAGGAGATAAACCCGGCGTTAGCCGGGCGGCCCGACTGGTAGGTGAATAATTGAGATAGTTGACAATACGTTGGAATGCTTCCAAATCCACTCAAGTTCGCAGGAATCTGACACCGCAGAAGGTCCATAAGATCGAAATGTTTCCGGGCCATACGATATTCATACCAGTGTGCTTAGCCGTACATTCGGATGCGGGACCGAGCAAGCACTTGGAGAGGGTGCGGTGGTCTTGTTGACCTCGACGGGATTCGCACTTGCAGGTTGTTCAAGTACGTCGCTGCGCCTTCACCGCAGGAAATGGAACTACTGTGTTGAACTGTTCACGCAATCCAGTTACACGCTTTTTATACTCTATTCGCGTACACGCCGAGTGAAGCCAATAACTCATATCCGCTCGGGACCTATCAGGTTCCGTAAACTTACAAAATGGTTGCTCTACCTATCATCAGATCGTAGAGATAGTCTTACTATGTGTAATTTACAAAATTCATCCGCCGTGGGCTGTCTAGAGTAGCTATACCCTTGATGGAAAATTACTGGAACTACTGGATATGTAGTCATGATGTAAGCCTGTTAGCTCAAAACCTTCGGCTCAAAACTACGATGACATCTTTGCAGTAAGGTATGATGAAGAATCGCCTAGCTTTTCTCAAGCCTCTACTTCTCCTGAGATCGTTCCCTTCGCCTTTCTCCATAGAGAAACCACTCCCATCATGGCTGATTGTGGCGGGGAAGGCGCTGCTGCAGTGTTGCAGCCAGCTATCCGGTCAGAGTTGACTCTGTTTGCGTTAGCGTTCCGTTCGCACCCTCAACGGCCGACCTGTCAGAGCCGTCACCAAAGTGAAAGGTGGCGGTTCCATTACCGTCATATCAGTAGCGCTGAAGTAGACGGTATTCTCTGACAGAAGAATTCTGAATAAGTATAACTAGCAGAGGCACCCTCCAGTTTCAAGTTTCAGACGGGCTGCTCGCATCCGAACGGTCCTTGGAATTATGGCTCATTTTTATTTCTTAGACCTTTTTCTGTAGATCAAATGTTTTGAGATTTTTTCTGTGGACCAGTTGCGCTTACTGTTTTCCTCTAAGCGTTGAATTTCAATTTGATTGCAATTCGTAGTTGACGGTTGCTAGTGCAGATCCAATCCATTAAAATCGCAACTAGACTCCATAGTAGCTGCAACTTGCCCGATCGACATAAAGGGGAAGATTTATAGTGTTCCACTGCATGGTCGTTATCCTTTGCACTTCTGGACTCCGGAGTTAAACCTAAATCACGGAAAATTTATCGCTTTGGCTTTTCTTTTCCAGTTTTCTTCCATTTCTGCAGAGTCCTGGAGGGAGTGTTACTTCTCTCTCATGCCTTTGTTTACATCTATTTTCTTCCTGGGTTCATACTGATCAAACATAAGGGAGCTCTGAGCTTTTAAGTGTTGCTATCTGTTATATCACACGATCCTGTCAGTTCAGTATATGTGTGTTCCTAATGAGCAGGGCAGGAAGCTAAGCACTCCAGCTCCGATGAGGAGGGAGGACGTTACCTGAAAAATTTTTTATGCGCTACCTACACCACCGCATTCGGGAATTGTTAGTTTTCGCAGTTCCAAATAGATGAGGAGCCCCTGATTGATTTCTATGAAAACTTAGGATTCCTACAAAAATAAAATTTTCCAAAAGATTGCAGATTTAACGGGAGTGAAAAGTAGTCAAGTCGTGAAGAAGCGGCTGTATTCAAAAAGTTTATCTATGGATAAGTGTTTATCCCTATGTATAACGCTACCACTGTTTGTCACTTTAGCCTATTTCTCCCGCACATCC